CACGCTGTATTCATCGCCTGATGAGAGGATCTCGACGTCAACGACGTCACCTGGTACTTCGGCGGCTGTGGCAGCGGCGCCTTCGGTGTGGCCCCCTCCTTCCGCCGCCGCCGTGCCAAGCCAGGGGTCGTGGCCACCTGGTCCTGGGGCGGCCGTCGGTTCAGCGGCTCCGTCCGTGCCGTGAGGGGGCGCAGAAGAGCTGCGGCCTGGGGCGCGGGGTGGCCTTGCGGGCGGCGTGGCGTCACGTTTCCCGCTGGAGGAGCGGTGGCGCTTGGCTAAAGGCTCCTCCTTGGGGGTCAGGAGCGGTGCGACGCCCTTGCCTTTGGGCGTGGCAGTCATGAGGTCGTGGAGGTAGGGGCTCTGGGCCGCTTTGGTGAGGAGTGTGCCGGTGGCGGGGCTGAAGCCGCCACCACCGGCTGGCGGCGTCGCAGGCTCTGTGATGGTGGTAGGCGTGACGATGGTAACGTTGTCCCGCTTCGGCGCCACCTCAGCCAGCGGGGCCTCGGCGATGCTCCACGGGATGGAGCACCCCGCGACCTGCACCGTATAGGTGAGTGGGGGCCGATGGGCGCGCACTAGGGCAAACTGGGCCGCAGTGGCTGGGCCCCAGGCGGTGTGGTAGACCTCACAGTCCCATTTGACGGACGGGCCCGTGAGAGTCTTGGCGAGCTGGGTCAGCGTGGCGTGGCGTGACGCAATGCCAGTGACGCGGTAGCGCGTCTTGGCGAGGGTGGCCTCGCAGCCGCGGATGCTGACAGCAGCGGCCTTGGCGACGTCAGACCCCCGCGGAACACGGATCCCCAGCAGGCCTGACTTGCCGTGCCTGACGACTCCCAGGGCCTTGAGCTCCACCGACTTCTGGAACGCGTCTGCCATCGTGATGGGCTGGTCCTCAGGGAACCACACGGTCTGATACTTGTCGGCGGTGGGCTCGTCTGCACCTACGTTGCTGAGGTCGTAGGTGGCACCGAGTTGCCCTGATCCCGCCAGGACCTTGTCGACCGCTTGGAGACTGACGCCGAAGGTGGCAGCCAGGGACCTCTTTCCGACGCCCGATCCAAACCTGCCTAGGCTTTTGCAGGGTTCGAGGATGGTGACGGCTTTAAAGTTGCCGTGGAAGAGGGCCTTGAAGGTGTCCTGGAGCTGGCCATCGAGCTCCTGGCGGCGAGCGTCTTTCTTGGACTCCTTGTGCTTTTGGCGCGCCTTGTCCTGTGGAGCGGAGTCGCCTCGAAAAGGGCCCTTGGCGCGTGGACCACCGTTCACGGGGGCACCTCCCGAGAACTGGTCCTCGAAGGCCTGGTGCATGGAGGGGACTGCGGCAATGGCCTCGGTCTCGTGTATGGTCGCCCGAATCCAGCAGACGTGGTCGGCGGGGTCGATGGTGGCGACGGCTACCTTTTCCGTGCAGGCGACCTCCTTGGTGCCCAGCTGGTACACGATCACGGGGACGTGCGTGTGGACCACTTTGGGCGCCTTGGGGTGGCGCTTCAGGACGGGGACGGCGAGCTCGGTACCGACGTAGTTGTCGTTTTTCGGGCCCATGACAGCAATCGCGAGCTGGCCCGTGGCTCGCTTACCCTGCCCGAGGTGGTGTTGCAGCAGCCGTTCGCCACTCTCGAAGTCGTGGAGGCTGATGCTGGGCTTGTACGTCTTGCCGTCGTCAGGCGAGGTGGGTTCGGCAAGAACAGGGGCCTTCCAAAAGGCAGGGTCCAAGGCGATGAATTGGGTGTCCGCAGCCTGAAGACGTGCGGAGCCCGATGGTGGGTGCGATGTGTCACCGCCAGTGCGCTTAGGCTTGCTGCGCTGGTAGTGGTCGAGCGTGTAGCTGATCTGGTTGGCGGCGCGCATGCGGATAAGGGCGCTGCCAAGCTTCTTCGTGTTGGACTTGTGAATGTCGTACTTTGCCTGGAGCTCGTCCGCGCTCAGTTCGGCTAGCCCGTTATAGGCGGCCGTGGGGCGGTCAGACCCCGCTTGCCTGAACGCTGCGATGCAGTCCTGCTTGCGTTGAAGGAGGGACCCTTCAGCAGCAGGGCGCGTGGGACGGGAGCTCGGAGGCTGCTTTGAAGAGTGACGGCGCTCCGGCTTCTTGGGGGCCATTGCTGCGGGCACTCTGGTGCGGAGAGGTGACGCGAATCAGTAGGGTCCTGCTGGGACCCCTCCGGTCTCGCGAGGCCTGGGAGTCTGACTCCGAGGCGGGGCGCTTCGCGTCGTAGCTGCGGTCTGAGTGCAGAGCACTCTCGAGCCGAGACTAGAGAGAGAGAGAGAGAGAGAGAGAGAGAGAGAGGGAGAGAGAGAGAGAGAGAGAGAGAGAAAAAAAAAATAGAAAGAGAGAGAGAGAGAGAGAGAAAAAAAGAGAAAGAGAAAGAGAAAGAGAAAGAGAAAGAGAAAGAGAAAGAGAAAGAGAAAGAGAGAGAGAGAGAGAAACAAAAAAGAGAGAGAGAGAGGGATAGAGAGGGACAGAGCCAGAGACAGAGACAGAGAGCGAGAGAGAGAGAGAGAGAGTGCTTCTTTTTCTGAAGTAGCGGGCAAAATGTGCTGTCCTAGCCGGGCTTGCGAGACCACGCCCGCCTTTTCTTTGTTGTTGGGGGCCCCCAGTGGTCTGTTCAGATTCCTTGGGGCCGGCATTCGACTTCGCCTTTCATCGGGCCCTCTTTTCTTACTCCTCCTCGCTCATCCCACCTCGTTCATGGCCCATCCCTTCTCCCTCTTGGCTACTGGCGTCTGCCCCCCCCCTCCTTCGACTCTCAATCATCCCTCCTGGCCTCTCTTTCTCTTCTCGACCGTTGTTCGTCCCTTCTCGCTCCTTGTGCCTTGCTGATCGCTCCTCGCTTCCTCCCCCCCCTCGACCCGGACTCCTCACTCCTCGCTCTTCGGTCCACTCGCGAGCTGCAGCACTCTGCAGTTTCAAGCAGCAACAGTGAACAGCAGCAGTCCGCAGCAAACAGCTGCAGCACATAGCAAAAGTAGGCAGCAACAGCGCCGCAGGCAGCAGCACCCCTGGGCTGCAGTCAGCAATAGAAGAGGAGAGGTTCGGGCCCAACGTCAGTGCGACAGTCTTTCGGCACCATCTCTGCCCTAGCCCCACGTGCCATCTCGGACTAAACGGCCGGTTTTTCGATAGCCGTAGCCGTTTTGGCTCAAGATCCCACCCGAGGGCACAGGCCCCCAGTTGCATCTTCGCGGGGGGGCCATGTTGAGCGAACCATTGCACGCCGACTTCTGCGCGAGGCCGTTGTGTCGCACGGACACGCGCGACCCAGTGTGGCTCTGCGTGCGATTCGCCGCCCGAGCATTGCGCCGCTGGTGGCGGCTGACAACCGATACACAATACCTCGCGTCGCCAACAAGCCGGAGAGTGTTTTGGAGGTGGTATTGGATTTCTTTGTTTTTTTGGCTGGCCCTCTGGCTTGGTTTAATCTGTGCAGGGGTGATTGAGTTTGGGATCGTCGGGCAAATTGTAACCGAGGCGCTGGTGATGTTGCTGCTGTTGTCCTTGGCGATGACGAGATTGCCAACGACATCCTTGTGGTCGGATTTCTTCGTGAGCTGTGTATTATGTGGGATCTTTTGGTTCGTTTGCGAGCGACGCCCCCTGTTTGGTGTGGTCACACAACTTCCCTTGTACAGCATAGCGTTCTGGGCCTTCGGATTGCACAGCTGCTTTGTTGCGCAGTTTACCATTTCTGGACTTATCTTCGTTTGCGCGTATGTTCCTAGCGTGGATGTGCTCATAAAGGTCCAGGCGCTTGTGGTGCTACTTCCAATCTTCCTCCTCGAGTGGCAGTCTGTGTCCCATTTCCGCAAGATCCAAAAGGTTTTGAATGTTTCGACAGACGGCCAGGTTATCATAAACAGGTTCACTGGCATTGTTGTCAGCGTGAGCGAAGAGATGTCGGATTCACTGAGCGGATTCACTGTTGGAACACAGTTCAACGAAGTCGTTGACACAATTGACCGCTCTCAATTCGATCGCTGGTTTTGCACGAGTAGGGGGGAGCCCTCGGAGACTTTTATGGCCACGCTTTCTTGCAGACCCAATGGCATAGCAACGCAAGAGTTCGAGGCTCGCATCATACCTTATGAAGTTAGTGGGCCTCTTCTGCACTTCTGTCTTCAAGTGGTGGGCGAGGTGAGATCATGCCACTTGGGCACTCGCAGCGCCGAACAGCCGCCAATGAACAACCTGGGGGGCTCTCCAGGCAGCGACGCGCCATGCGACGCCGAGCAGGAACCAATGATCACTTCGAGTGCCACTTTGGCCCAGATCGAATGCCACTCCAAGCAGGGGGACAGCGCGGCACCAGTCGCGCACAAAGGGCATTCTGGAGGTGGTCCTCAATCGAATTGCGATGGAGATGGAGCAGCCCCGCGCGCGGAGCACCTGGGCCCTCGACTGCTGGTCGCACACGAGAGCAGCGAGGGGTCGGCCACGCACCAAAGGCACCAGGGCGACGGCGAGATTACGTCGGGGCACCTCGAAGACAGCCAGGCATCGACCTTCACGGAGACCATCTCGAACGCCTCTAGGGGTGCGAATAATGACATCAACCACAGAAAAACTCAGAGGTCCTTCCGGATTTCTCGGATGGGCGCTGCACCCCCCCTCCATGGCGCGCGGGGCGCGCCAGGGGCGGCGCCGCAGGCGCCGCCAGGGAGGCCCAGCGCGGTCCCGGGAAAAATCCGCGCGGACATCCGAGGTTTTCTGTTTCTGTCATTCTTCGTTGCCCTAGCCTCGCTCGTCAATGGGGATCGGCCCAAAAAACAAACGACACCACCCCACCTACGGCTCTCCATGTTGCGCCATACGGCCCATCGGGGGCCGCAGCGCATACCGCGCAGAAAACTCACGCCAGACTTCCTGGTGTACGCGGCGGCCCGTGGGGCCGCAATTAGGTGGGGTGGTGCCGTTTGTGATCTGGTCCAGAGGGCCCGGGCGCAGGGGGGCAGGGGGCGGCGGCGCGCCCGGCGCCCGCCCAGGGGCCCAGGCCGCAGCGGGGGCGCCTGGAGGCTGCCGCCGCGGCGGCGCCGCGCCCGGGCAGGGAGCGCGTTCCGGCGGGCCGGGCCGAGAGAACGCACGGGCGCGCCGGGGCGGGCTGGCCGACGGAACCAGCGGCGCCGTCGCGGCGAGCCAGCTCCTCCTCCTCCTCCTCCTCCTCCTCCTCCTCCTCCTCCTCCTCCTGCTCCTCCTCCTCCTGCTCCTGCTCCTGCTCCTGCTCCTGCTCCTGCTCCTCCTCCTCGTCCTCGTCCTCCTCCTCCTCCTCCTCCTCCTCTCCTGCCTCCTCCTCCTCCTCCTCCTCCCTCCTCCTCCTCCTCCTCCTCCTCCTCCTCCTCCTCCTCCTCCTCCTCCTCCTCCTCGTGGGTGGCTTTGGCGCTGCGGCCCCGCCCCCCGCGGCCATTTTGCCTGCGGGCGGGCGCCGCGCCCGTGGCCATAGCCCCCGCGCCAGCTGCCCGCGCGTTGCGGGCGCTCGTGCAGCATCCTGGAGCGCAGGTCGCGCTCCCCAGCGTGGCACCGCCGCGCGCGGCGTCAGCGAGCGCAGGCGCGGTCCGCCCTGCGCGTCGCAGCCGCCCGCGCCACCCTGGTTGGGCGCCACGGCGAACGCCCCAGTGCTGCCGTCGGCATCGGCGCTGGCATGCCGACGCCGCCCTGGCAGACACCTGCTGGGCAACGGTGGGCGTGCGCGGCCACCCGCGTTTGCGGGTTTTGGACAAATTTCAGGTCCCGCACCACCTGCTACAAGTGCGAACGCGACAGGCTGGGGCGGCAGCAGAAGGCCGACGACCCCGCATCCAGCAAGCCGCCCTCGTTTCGGTCTGCTTCCACTGGCCGCCGCCGTCGCGCTGCACTTGGGGACGCTGGGGCTTTTCCAGCGACCAGCGCCGCTGAGCCTGCGGTCAGCCCCGCGCTCCAGCGAGCGCGTCAGGGACTGCAGGCCCTGCGCAACCTGCAGTCCGGCGATGGCCACCCACTGGTTGCGGCAGCTCGGGAGGACCTTGCGATGATCGAGGCGGAGGAGCGCAGGGCCCAGCCTCCCGAGGCGCTGCTGCGCAGCCCCCAGAAGCACCTCGATGACGCCAAGGCAAACCTCGACCAGACCACCGACGCCTTGGCGGCTGCGACGGCCGAGGTCCAGCGCATCACCATCTTGCAGGCCAACATTGAGACCGAGATGGCGGATGCGCGCCGCGCCGTGGCGGTCACGGCGTCGGTTTCTCTGCCCAGGCCTTGCAGGGCGCCTTCGGCCCGCTTGGTGCTGCTAAGTCGGTTAGTTTAGCCGCTGGCGCTGTTGTCGCTCTTGGGCACCCGTTAGCGCTTGGCGGGCCAGGCCCCCCCCCCGCGGTTGGAGCCGTTGCCACAGCGCCCGCTGCGGCTGGAGACGCTGCGCTGCGCGTCGGCTGGAGACCCTGCTGCCAGCCACTGGGAGAACGCAGAGGGGATGGACGACAAGGCGACGTGGGCGACGGAGAGCAGCTCGGAAAGGGTGCTTCTTTCGTGACATACGAAGGCTCATCCTGGGGACGCGCCGTGAATTTGACTGCGCGCGATGCCTCAATCTTGGTTGTCGCTGCGCGAGAGCTACGTATTGATGGGGGCGGAGTTCTACGTGCGCAGGGGTGGGCAGCTCGATCAGGATGGCACGCCACTACCTCGCCTTGCCGCCGCCTTGAGTCAGGGCGGCCTTCCGCTGGGGTTGGGATCTTCCTTCGGCGGCATGTCGGTGTCACAACATTGCCAGGTTTCGGGGCTGCAGGTTCCTTCGTGCGCCCTGGAGTTCTACGGCGCCTTGACCGGCTCGTCGCCGTTGGGGCTGAGCGTGCCTACGCGGACTCTGCATGTCGTCGGGTGGTGTCTCTGCTTCGTGGTTTCTTTCCTGCTGTTCGTCGTCTCCTGGGTGCAGATGAAGCTCGATGTGCGTCCTGGCACGCAGCTCAGATGGAGTTCGGGTCGGCAGGTGATGGCGCTCAAGCTGCCGAGCAGGGCCATGGCGTCAGTTCGCAAAGCCCCGGTGCGCCAAAGCGGCTACCAGGCTCCGTCGTCACGGGCGTCAGTTCGCAAAGTCCTGGCGTGCCATCGCGGCCACCAGGCTCGGCGTCGCCACGTAGGCCCAGGCTCGGCAGCGATCAGGGGGCGGCGGGCGATGCGGAGGTCGCGGTGCCCGTGGGCCTGTCGTGCGCCGCGGGCCCATCGCCAGGGGGTCGCTGCTGGCGTGCGACGTGGATAGCGCGCCGCTGCTGGAGGGGCAGCGCGGGCGGGGCCCGACCACCGCCCGGGGCGGCGCGTCGGCCCGGGGGGGGGGCAGGGGGCAGCTCACCGAGCCCCCCAAGCAGCCCCCCCCCCCCCCCAGAAAAAAGAGAGCAGGCGCAGCCGCGTGACCGCTCCAAAGGGAACATCCTGTCGGAGATGGGCGAGGTCGGGTGCACGGACCGCGGCTCGGGCCCTGATCGGCTTCAGTCACCGTGCGTGGCTGTCGTCAGCCCGCTCGCTACAAGTCCTGCGGTCGAGGTACGAGGCCCACATGCTGCCGGACGTGGTGGGGGTGCTGGCCTTCCCAGGGGAAGTGACGAGTGCGGCGTAGTGGTTAGTCGTGATGGGGACTACCATCGCAGCGCCCACGTTTCGGAGCTGGCCCGTGAAGCTCCCGCAGTGGAGGTGCGTGGCCTACTTGTTGCTGAACGCGGTGGGGATGCTGACCTTGCCAGGGGAAGTGAGGGGCGTGGCATAGTGGATAGTCGTGATGGGGGCTGCCAGCACAGTGCCCACGTCTCGGAGCTGACCCATGAAGGTCCTGCAGTCGAGGTGCGTGGCCTACTTGCTGCTGGGCATGGTGGGGGTGCTGACCATGCCGGTGGAGGTGACGAGCGTGGCGTAGTGGTTAGTCGAGCTTGGGACTGCGATCGCAGCGCACGCGTCTCGGAGCCGTACCTTGGGCGCTACGGCGGTGGCGTATCTCGCGGTGGGAACCGCGTCGAGAAGGCCGTTGTGCTGCCCCACCCCATGGGCGACGTCCAGACGGAGGCGGACGAGGTGGTGCGCGCGGGCTACAGCGCGGGGGCGGATCTGCTCCCGCCGCCGCTGAAGGTGCGCAAGCGGGGACATGGCCAGGTCTACCGCCGCGACGACGGGCGCGCTGCTCAGCTCCCCACTGACGACCTTGCGCGCGGAGCTTTGCCCCGCCCCTTCCTCGGAAGGGAGGCCGGTGACGTCGGCGCATGGGCGCAGGAGGCCCTCGAGCCGCCGCCAGCTTGCAGCGCTGTCCGGGATCGCCGCGCGGCACCTGGCGATGCCCTCCGCGAGCACGCGGACCTCCCCCCCAGTGCGAGGCGAAGGCGGCGTGGGGCGCCGCTGCCTGTGGGGGGGCGCTGCCGTGAAGCTCCCCGCGGTCATGCTGATCCTCCTGCATTTCTTCCTGGTGTTCCCCCTGTTCCTGAGGTCTACAGCGTGGGCTCCTGCCCAGCGGTGGACCTGGGTGATGCGCGGGTCGCGGTCCGAGAAGCCGCGCATGCTGCGGTCGCATGGCTCGCGTGCCTCGCCGACGCGCAGGAGCGGAGGGCCATGCGCCAGCGCCGCAAGGCCTTCTCAGAGCGGGCGCAAGGTTGCGAGGCGGGCCGCATCAAGCCGCTGGTCTCTTTCACGAAGCTCCTTGGCGCACCGCGATCCCAGATCAAGCGCCGCGGGGTCCGCGCGACGGCGGCGCAGCATGTGGCCGATGACCAGATGGATGTTTGTTCTCGGATCTGGCGGGCCTCGCCTGTCTCGGGCTGCTCTACCTTGTCTCAGGTCGAGGGTATAGGCCGCGGATGTCATGCGCACGGGCCTCGGCATCTGGCGGACTTCGACGACGCCGCGGCGGTCTTCCAGGCCACCCAGCAACTACCTAAGGCCGCACTGTCTGCCCCTCGCATAGCTACAGTGCGCAGAGCGGCGAAGAGCTTCCGATGGACCATAGGGCAGGGAGCAGATAGGCTGGCACCGCGGTCATTGAGTATCGTGAGTGACGAAGCGCTGCCCGTCCAAATCTACATCATGCGGCTCACTGAGCACTGGGGGCGGTGGCCTACGCAGATGATGGCAGTGCACATCGTATTGTTGGCCGAGCCGAAAAGGGGGATGGCGCCCCATTGCGTTGCTGGTCGCTGCCTACCGTGTCTGGTCTCAGGTTCGAGGCCAACAGCTTCGTGAGTGGCTTATGGAGCATGGTCGGCCTTACTTCGCACTGGCGGCTGGCAAGACCGACCACCTTGGATGTTGCCTGTCGTGCATTGCTGCGTGCTGAGGCTGGTCTAGCCGACGGGCTTTGAGTGGTCACCGCCATCGTGGATATCGGGAAGTGCTTCGACCGCATTTCATGGCCCATCGTGGTCGAGGCAGTTCGTAAGCATGGTTTTCCGCGTCAGTTGCTGGCTTCTGCCTTGGCCATGTATAGGGCGCCACGCAGATTGGTGTGGCCGCAGGCTACGTCATACCCGGTGGTGGTTGAGCAAGGCGTTTGACCTGGTTGTAAGTTTGCGATGGCGGTTGTTCAGTTTCTGCTGATTTCCGCATTGGGTGAGCGCCGTGTCCAGGTTGACACCATTGACTGTACTTGCAGTACGTCGCACACGCTGGATGTATTCGCTGACGATCTCACCGTGCAGGTGATTTCCCTGTCGCATGTTCTGGAAGGGCGCGCGACTGACATCATTGGCCTTCTGTGTGGCTCTCTGCAGGACTCGGGACTCCCAGCGGCCAAGTCCAAGGTTATGCCGGCGGCGTCTCACGATCGCACCGCCCCCCGCAGCCCTCGGAGGCTTCGGAGGTTCGGGTTCCCCGCCCTTTCCTGTCTTGAGGTCCTGGGTCTCGAGGTGGATGCGGGAAAGCCTGTGCACTCTAGAGTCTTGCGACGGAGGGTGAAGGCCATGTCCAAGCGTGTCCGACATTTCCAGCGAATTCTGGGTTTGGGTGCTAAATCTCGGAAAGTGGCGAGTGCTGCTATTGTACTTGCCATCATGTATGGGTTGTGTGCATTCTGGGAGCTGCGCTACATGTTGTCCAGCGCATGGCCAGGCAAATCAAGATGGGATGGGATGCCATACCCGCTGAGGCATCGCGCTGGATCGCCTCTCGTTTGGCACGGTCGCCTGAGTTTCAGCCCGCATGTGTCTCCGCGGCTGGGCCCATCCACAACTGGGCTGTGATGGCGCACGCTGGCGAGGTCACTCATCTGGACATGCTGAAGGCGCGGCAAGCGCAGTGTCGAGTCACTGCAGCAGCACATCAAGCAGACAAGTGGAGGCTAGTCACTGGACCAGCAGGGGCCTTTGCACGGTCGTTTCTTGCACTGGGGTGGACTTGCTCGTCTGCATTTGCGGTCCGTGCCAGGTCTGGTGAGCTCTTGGGTATTCGTGTCGCGTCGCCTTCGGTTGTGCGCTGGCTCGCCCCGCAGGAAGGCGAGGTACTGGGACGGCGGATGCGGTCTAAACGTCGAGATGCCATGCCTGAGATGCCAGGGCCCAGTCGCAAAGATGCAGCAGGTTGTTGGTTGGCTTCTATACGAGGCATGCTGCAGGCTGGGCATAAGGCGAAGCGTTGGTGTTTGGATTACGTGGCCAAGGCGGCGGTTCGCTCTGCAGTTATGGGAGGTCGTTTCGCGCAGCAACGGTAATGCCATTATGTTCATGCCACCTCCCCTCATTGTTTGTTGTGTGGGGATGTTATCGGGGCTTTGCACCATCGGTACTTGCATTGTCCGTCGCTGGCGGAGTTTCGAGAGCATGCTGTGGATTCTAAAGTATCGGGCATGGCCAGAGCCACCATACCTGGACATGTGTTCTACTCGAGGGCCTATTCCCGAACTCTGGGTTGCCAGCATTGCCGCCGCGCGACGATTCTGGACGGTGGCACTACGCCAAGGTTGCTCGAGGGAGGTCGCTCGGTGACCAATTTGTTGTCACTGGTGATGTATCCACAGACGGGTCTTGTGCGGAATTTCTCCATTGGGGCGCGGCTTCTTAGATCTGGATGGGGATGTGTGGCGGCTGGTGATTCTCGGTGCTACGGAGCTGCTTTGGGACCACTGCCTGGCCCGCGCCAGACATCTGGCAGGGCAAGGAGAGCTGTATGCGACTCTTCAGGTGTTGGCAGTTGGGGTGGCCCGCGCCTATAGGCGCCTCGGCTGGCCCCCGTGCTCCTGGACGGGACTGGTGGGCCTTCTGCCCCCGGCCACGCTGGTGGGCCTCCGCCAAGCAAGCGTGCGCGGGCCTCGGGAGGCCTGGTGCTCCGTGGGCCCTGGGTTGCCCGCGATGCTCTCCCTCCTGACTGTCCCCTCCCCGCTCAAGGCCCCGCAGGGCCCAGCTCCGCTCGAGGGCACGTCGTTGTCCTGGTTGGGGCTACCCTGGCGTTTTGCCGTCGCTGTGGCGCCCGAGCCCAGCCATCGGCCCCTCAATATAGGAGGTGGGGTCCGTGCCAGGGTTTTGCTTCCAGCAGGGACGCTACGTACCTTAAGGCCTTCGAGCAGGGCAAAGACCCCCTTTCTGGGGAGTGGAAGGGGCATCCCCGTCCGCTCCTCGCGTCTGACGACGCTGTCTTCTGTCTTCGTCTTCGATAACTCGCTTGGCGTTCTATCTTCGGTGATTCGCTTGCGTCGCATCTCTGCTTACGTATCTCTTCGAGCCGCGCTCGTTCGCCTGTTCAACCCGTCCTTTTCTTCCCCTGGCCTGTCTCTGCGCGCTCGGATTCATCGAGCTGGCGTGCCTCCTCCTCCTCCTGCTCATCCTCCTCCTCTTCCTCCTGCTCCTCCTCCTCCTCCTCCTCCTGTTCCTCCTGCTCCTCCTGCTCCTCCCGCTCTTCCTCCTCCTCCTCCTCCTCCTCCTCCTCCTCCTCTTCCTCCTCCTCCTCCTCCTCCTCCCTCCTCCCTCCTCTCCCCTCCTCCCCTCCGCCTCCTCCTCCTCCTGCTCCTCCTGCTCCTCCTCCCTCCTCCCTCCTCCTCCTCCTCCTCCTCCTCCTCCTCCTCCCTCCTTTCCCTCCTCCCTCCTCCTCCCCTCTCTCCTCCTCCTCCTTCCTCCTCCTCCTCCTCCTCTCTCCTCCTCCTGCTCCTCCTCCTCTGCTCCTCCTCCCCCTCCTCCTCCTCCACCTCCCCTCTTCCCTCCTCACCTTCCTCCTCCTCCTCCTCCTCCTCCTCCTCCCTCCTCCTCCTCCTCCTCCTCATCCCTTCCTCCTCCTCCTCTCCTCCTCCTCCTCCTCCTCCTCCTCCTCCCTCCTCCTCCTTTCCTTCTCCTCCTCCTCCTCTCCTCCTCCTCCTCCTCCTCCTCTCCTCCTCTGCCTCCCCCTCCCGCTCCTCCTCCCCTTCCTCCTCCTCCTCCTCTCCTCCTCCTCCGTCTCTCTCCTCATCTCCTCCTCCTCCTCCTCCTCCTCCTCCTCCTCCCCTCCATCCCTCCACTCCCTCCCTCCCTCCCTCCCCCCTCCCTCCCTCCCTCCCTCCCTCCACCTCCTCCCCTCCTCCCTCCCGCCTCCCTCCTCCTCCTCCCTCCTCCGCCCTCCCTCCCTCCTCCTCCACCCTCCTCCCTCCCTCCTCCTCCACCCTCCTCCTCCCCCTCCCTCCCTCCTCCCTCCACCTCTCCTTCCTCCCTCCTTTCCCTCCTCCTCCTCCCTCCTCCCTCCTCCTCCTCCCTCCTCCCTCTCCCTCCCTTCCTCCCTCCTCCCCTCCTCCTCCCTCCTCCTCCCTCCCCCCTCCCTCCTCCCCTCCTCCTCTCTCCTCCTCCTCCTTCCTCCTCCTCCTCCTTCATCTCCTCCTCCTCCTCCTCCTCCTCCTCCCCTCCTCCTCCTCCTCCTCCTCCTCCTCCTCCTCCTCCTCCTCCTCCTCCTGCTTGTCAGGGGCGCCAGGGCGGGGGGCCCGCGGGCGCCCCGCGCGCCAGTGCCGGGCGGCGCGGGCGAAGCGGGGCAGCTGGAGTGGCAGCTGGGGCTCTGGGGGGCCTCTGGTGGTGCTTGGAGAGCGCAGCGCCGGCGCGCACCTCACGCGGGGGGCGCAGCTCCAGCCGCAGCTCCCGTGGAGCCGGTCTCTTCGTCAGGGTCTGGGCCTGGTCTTGCTTACTTTTCGGTCTGAGCTCGACCGTCTCTGGATGGAATCTGGTGAGGAGGGGGAGGAGGGAGCGGAGGAGGAGGGCGAGGCGGAGGAGGGTGGGCCCTGCCCGCGCAATGTGCGGTGGGGAGGACGCGGGGGGAGGATCGGCTGTCCAGCCATGAGGCGGCGCTTGGGACCAGGCCCTCCTGCAATCGAAAAAGAAAAAACGCCACAAACATAAATAATCACATAACAATAATAATAGTAACAAGAAGAAGGAGAAGAAGAAGAAGAACGCCATAAACGCAAATGTTTGGCGCTCCGCGCGGACTTCTTGGATCCGAGCGGAGCCCCCGGCGGCGCCTCGGGCGCCGCCCCTGGCGCGCTCCGCGCGCCAGAGAGGAGGGCTACAGTGCGACCCCGTGCCCGAGCGACCTCTTGGCGCGCGGGTTTTTGTCGCGAAGCGGCGCGGGGCACGACGCGAGCCGCTGCGGCCGCCTCTGCCGCCGACCCCATAGTGGGAGGCCAGTGTGCGCTCTGCTCTGCGACTGCGCGACACGTGATAGGCGAGGCGCGGGCCCCGTTGTACCGCGCGCACAGTGGTAGGCTACGGACCCATGCGGACCCCACAAATCGCGTTCGCATCACTCTGTATCACAGTGACTCCTCCTGCCACTCGCTCAGCGGGTTACTTCTTGCCTCCTAACACACTTGCCCATCATATTTTTTCAGCCGAGCATATGCCGAGCAAATGTCCATGATATGTTTTTGCTAAACCTTCCTCCTGGCCTCCTTCTAATTATCCCTCCCTCCTCCTTCCCCCAGTTATTATACGATCATTGCATGGGCCTCCTGCACCCTTTTTGATTGACTGCAGCCTATCATGTCTGTATCCCGCACCGACCCAGCTGTGAGGTCAACTCCTACTTCATCCTCTACCTCCGTTGTATTACCTCTCCCACCGTTTAAACTGCCGCAGCATCTCGGGAGCGCTCCGGCGCTCCTCCCCGGGACACTTTCAAGGGGCTCAGTATCATCAATCATGTGTCAGCTGTGTGCTAGCGGCCGCATAGTGACCGTTTGAATACGCCGTCGTTTCGTTTGCAATATAGGCTCATTTGCATGGCTGGACGCTTCGTGTGCGCGGCGTTTGAACTGCCGACATGATCTACGTCCTACTTCACGGAATTGGCACGATGAAATCCGCGACGATCCATCAGGACATCCGTAGGACCTTCATGGAGGAGGTTCTCCAGCATTGCCGAGGAAATCCTTCGCCCCCCCGAGGGAAATTTCAAGATGCCGTACGAGTTTCTAATGATTATATGGGGTCCCATTAGTTTGCCATGGAAATCCTGCGGGCACGTTTGAAAATCACAAGGATCCCTGCGGAAGCCTTCAGGATATCTGAAGGCAGCCCAGGATGTTCGAAGGAAGCCCGGTAGTTCGGTGCTTTGGGGAAGCCTCGGGAGTTCGTAGGGACGTTTAGGAATTATTCTGGGCTTCAAGGCCTTCGCCGGGAACTCAGTTCTGGCTTTCTTTCTACATCCTGATGGTTTTTGAGGAGATGCTCAGGATCGCCGATGACATCGCCGCACTTAAACTCCATAGGATTGCTGGGGGCCAGTCTTGCTCTACGGGGGCGCTGGAGCCTCCCGTGCCGTTTCCAGGAGTGCGGCCTCGCTCGGAGCCCCGCGCAAGGGCCGCCCGGAGGGTAAGAGCAGGAGCTCCTTCTCACATCTGTGCTTCACGCACAGGACGAGGGAGGCGCAGTTTGCTTCCCCTCGGCGGCGAGCGAGCGAGGGGGGGAGTTGAGAAGGAGAAGGCCTTCTCCAGAAGGCGGCGGGACCTCTCAGGAGCCCTCGCGCCCTCCGAGAAGTTGTTGTCTGTCTTCGGGGAAGGCTGAGGAAACTCCTCAGAAGGCGGGGGGACTTCCGAACCTTCTCAGAAGGCCTTCCTTTTCTCCTCCTCCTCCTCCTCCTCCTCCTCCTCCTCCTTCTCCTCCTCTCCTCCCTCCTCCTCCTCCTCCCTCTCCTCCTCCTCCTCCTCCTCCTCCTCCCTCCTCCTCCTCCTCCTCCTCCTCCTCCTCCTCCTCCTCTTCTCCTCTCTCCTCTCTCCTCTCTCTCTTCCTCTCTCCGCTCTCCTTTCTCCTCTCCTCTCTCTCTCCTCTCTCCTCCTCCTCCTCCTCCTCCTCCTCCTCCTCCTCCTCTTCCTCCTCCTCCTCCTCCTCCTTTATCCTCATCCTTTCTCCTCCTCCTCCACCACCTCCCTGGTGCTGAGGGGTCAGCTCCCGCAGTCGCAGCCGACTGCGCTCTCGGAGCGTCAGCACCAGGACGAGGGCTCATCATCGACGGGGCGCATGTGGATCGTTGCGAGCCTTCGCGAGCATCACTGCGATGGGACCGCAGGCCCGGGAGTTCGTGGAGAAGGAGTGCGCCGACGACGATTTCCTGGGCTTCGCAGAGGCGCACGTTCGCTCCTCGGCCTAGTTGGAGGAGTGGACGCGTACGGGGAAGCGTGCTGGATGGCGGGTTCACGCCAACCCCGCCCGTGCCTCGAGCGGAGGGGGCACCGAGGGCGGTGAGTGGCTGCTCGCCCGTCAGCACCTCCACGTGCACCGCTTGGAGGCCACACCACACCAGCGCCCAGGCAGCTGTGCGCCCCAGCATCCTCCGACCTGGACGGCTTCCATGCCAGCGTGTTGCACATGCAGGGGTATGCCGTGGTGGCCATCATCTTCTAAGCCTTCTCGTCTCTTGGCTGTGCGGGAAACGACCTACGCAGGTGCGCTCGCCTCGGCGCGCTGCTCACGGCCCTGCAGCCTCCTTGGCTGGCGCTCGGAGACTTCAACATGGGGCCGTCGGTGTTGCAGCAGCGTGGCTTCGTGGAGCGGGTCGGCGGGCACGTGCTTCAATGCAATGCGACCTTCACCTGCGATCGCACATCGACTACGGCTCGTGCTCGGCCTCCTGTCTACCGTACGTCAGTGGGTTTCGAGGCGTGCAGGCCGTCCCCTGGGAAACCCACTGCGGCCTCGCGGTGGAGCTCCTCGGCAGCGGCCAGCAGCTGATGACGCGCCGCCTGGTGGTGCCCAAACCCCTTCCTGCGGGCATGCGTCCCGCCCGCCGCCGACAACTTCCACCAAACGGTGTGAGGTGCGTTCCCGCAGAGACGCCACCCGCCTCAGGCGGAGCGCCAGTCGGAGGCACCCAAAGCGGACATGTCAACCGATGATACGGACGGCGAAGGGCTCTCCTCCAGCGACGGCGACGACTCGTGGGCTGATGAAGTTGAGAACTTGCTGCTGCCGCCACCACAGGACGATGCGCCCCCCACCAGGGAGAGAGGCGCACCCTTTGGCAGGCCGCCCCAGCCCAGCACCCGCAGCCTCAGCACGTTCGCCGAAGCGCCGCTGCTGGCAACCGTTCACGATGCTACATCCGCTGCTGGCAAAGGCGAAGGCGGCCGACCCCAGGCCCATGCCGCCCCCAAGCGTCATTCCATGGACGAGGACTACGCCGACCCTTTCGAGTGCCTGGGCGAGGACGACGGCCAGGGCATTCCCCTTGCGCGTGGGCATCGAGGAGCCTTCCGGGGTCGAGCAGGTCTCAGAAGGGGGCCTCGGACCGCGGGCCAGTGGACGGCGGCCGAGTGGCGGCTGAGGAGGTTGGCGGAAATCAGTCTCAAAGCACCCTTGGCTCTGGGGCGCTGCAATCGCAGCCCCGCGCGTCCCGCCCCGTCACCGCCATCTTGCCCGCGTGCGACGACAGCCCAGACCCCTACTGGATATCGGAGCATATTTGGGAGCGAGCGGCTAACGCCAGAGCCCCAGCTCGTATTCCGTGGAGAGCGATCGGCGAGTCGGCCGCGCGCCGCGTCGGAGCCAAGGTCATTGGGCCTCTCAACGACGCCTACGCCAGATGGGTGCGTCAGGTCGAAGCGGCCGCACATCGGCATGCACGAGAACCCCCGCATGGCCGAGGCCTTCCCTAGGCGGCGGTGTTCGTCTGGTCGAGTGCCAGGTATCAGCGGTCCAGCGCGCCATCCACGCACTACGCACTGTCCTCGGGGAGTTCGCGCGCTACTCCACGGGGGTCGTCGGCAGCGCACCTGTCGCGCGCGCTGCTGCTGCCGAACGCCGCCGCGCTGCCGCCGAGTGTCGCCGCGTGGCCCAGGATGCCCCTGCTCGTGCCCGACGCGCTCTCGCCGCTGGCCGAGGTGGGGGTCGGTATGATCGTGGGGCACTGCTGGGGGGCCGCGCATCACATGGGCCAGTCTTCGTCGGGGCCTTCGCGCTCTGCAACGCTTGCCCATCCAAGCCGTCGAGCATGTGCTGGGCGTCGTGCCGGGCAGCCTGCTCCGCGCGCGGGGTCGTGCCGTCGGCGCCTCCCTTCGCAGCTTCAAGGATTGGATCGTCGCGCTGCAGGGCCCGTCGGTGCTCTTCAAGTCCTCGAAGAGGCAGCCCGACCTGGCCGACGACATGTTCGAACCACATGGATGTTAGTCCCTCGTCCGCCCCCGTGGCCTGGTGGATCACGAGGCCAGGGTCTGGCAGGAGCTGTGGGCGCCCTACCAGGAGGACAGGCGCGAGGTCGACACCTTGTGGAACGAACTGCGTGGGATGCTAGGCTTCGAGGGCTTTCCCGCGCTGGGCCTTTCTCAGTTGATTGCCGCCTTGGAACGCGCGCGCCCTCGCGCAGGCAGAGGTGCCGACCAACTGCGTCCCATTGACGTCGGGCGACTACCCGATTGCGCCCCCATCGAGCTTCTCGACCTGCACTCAGAGTGCGAGCAGGTGGGCTGTTGGCCATGGCAGCTGCCCTTGCTCTCGGGGCAGCTGCTGGCCGGGAGAGCTGGGGGCGAGCGCGTGATCGGCAATCTTCTGCATGATCACCCGCATCTGGAGCCAAGCTCGCGAGCCCGTCGTCCAGGACTGGAGTCAGGGCGCGGCGCCGCCATGGGGCGCTGCGGTCCGTGGGAACACCGCCGCATTCGAGGCCCCTGTCCGCGCCGCTGACGAGGGGGCCTACAGCACGATGGGCATGGCGCACGAGCGCGCCATTCTCGACATCGCGGCCTTCTACGACTCCATGGATTGGGTCAAGCTCGGACGTGCCGCCCTGCGGCTGGGCTTTCCCCCCACCATGCTCGCCCTCGCTCCAGCTGTGCTTCGCCCCGCGGGTGTTGATCTGCGACGGAGCAGCATCGCTGGCGTTCCAGCCTGCCAGGTCCATCGTGCAAGGGTTGCTCAGGGGCGCGGCTTGCGCGCTGCCTAACCTACTTCATATGGGATAAGATCACGCAGTCCAAGCCGACTGGGACCCTGGCCCCCCGAATCTGGATCGACGACTTGTCCGGGGCGGCGGTCGGCGCGGCGCCAGGCGTGGAGAGCGCGTTAATTGCCGCGGCGGCCGAGGCCGGCGACGCGTTCGCCTCCGACGGCCCCCGGACCTCGCCGAAGAGCGCGGTCATCACCAACCGCTGCGGGCTAGCCAAGCGCATCATGGACGCGCTGCGCGCCAAGGGCCACGTCATCACGGCCGGCAAGTGCCCGCCATGTCTAGGAGTCGACCTCGCCGCGGGCAAGGGCGCGAGGCGACCCACTCGGACTAGCAGGGCGAAGAAGGCTGTCACGCCGCACCTCAGCGTTCGAGGTTTCGCGAGGGCCAGCAAGCAGCATCGCGCCTGCTGGCGGATTGAGATGGCCCCCCCAAGCAGCTGCCAGCTACGGGCATC